TTGCCGGTCCCCGGGCCGGGTGGGGGGCAAACAGGGGGGGTGGGGTCCGTTGGCGGGCACGGAAAAAAAAAAAAAAAAAAAAAAAAAAAAAAAAAATGCATCTACCCCAGGAGTTTCTTCCCCCCTCATATAAGTCAGTCTGTTTTTTTTTTTTTTTTTTTGTCTTTTTTCGTGTCCGGCAATGGATCGCAACCCTCAGTGTCGCGCCTGCACCGGGACTGGCAATGGGACTGCAACCCTCAGCGCTGCACCCGCACCTCGCTCAGCCAGTGAGCGGGAACCAGTCTGCATGTGGGATCCGAACCCTCAGCGGGAGCGCCGCCGCGCTCCCAAGCGGCACACTGCAGCAGTGCACCACCGGGCCGGCCCTAAGTCAGTCTGTTTTATAGTCAAAGGTATGTGTTGGTATTTTGCTTTGGAAAAATAGTTTTTAGGCTTCATTTTTATGTGTATTCAGTTTCCTGATCTGAATTGTACTCTCTAAGAGGCGAGCAGTAAATGTGCCCTTCTGCTTCTGTTGTAATCACTGTATCCCTGCCAGTGCTCAGCACACAGAGACACTTAATACCTCGTGTGTGGAGGGTCTTACCATGGCAGGCTTGGGATGCCAGCACCTTCTGGACAGTCAGTGGCAACGTCCCTTGGACACCTCCTGTGGTCTGGAGTAGCTAATGCATAAACACATTATTAACAGGAAAAGGAAATGGGACAATGAAGTCTTTCATGTGTGGTTCCTCTGTGTGAAACCCCAAAATAAGAGAAAAGCTTACCTCCACTTGTTCTCGAATAAATTCCTACAAAGCAAAAAGGAAAACACACATTAACCTACTATTATGTTACAACTTGTCCTTTGACAATTTACAAAATATCCCAATTTTCTTCTTTGAAATACACCTCCTGAAGGAGAGAGTTCTGGCAATACAGCACTTAGGTACAAATTTATTTATTGTAAGGCACTTTGAATATGAAATACCAAGACAATTGAATAGAACTGTTATTGAATGTAGAACATATTTAGCTACTGAAACTTCTTCTGGAGATAGCTCATCAACTAATGAGGTTATGTAACTGGTGAGAGTGGCCTTGATGATTCAACCAATTCAAAATGTCAGGGAGACTTCTCACTAAGAGGCTGTCTGTTTGTATTTATAACCTTTGCTAGAACTTTGGTGTAATATTACAACAAACTAAGAATAAATACACAACAATCATCAACAAAACCATGCACTTGGTATAACACTTGCTTAAATATCAACATAAGTAAATAGTCACTTTAGTTCCCACAGGCTTTTTTTGGACAATTCTCTTCAGGTCAAAAAGCTTATTTTCCAAGGCATTTTGTTGAGAAGTTTCTCCTCCTTTGTATATCTCTGTCCCTGGGGTAAACTTTTCAATAGTTATATCCCTGTATATATTAATATTAACAAAAGAAATCTAAAGAATTTTAAAGCAGACACTATTTCATGCTATCAATTTGTTTAACTTCTGCAGGTGAAAAAATGTTTTCAGATATGGCACATTTAGGGATTTCTTTACTCCTGGAAATGGCTACATATAAATCAGCTTCCTAAAGATTTCAACATGGTAGATTTTTTTAAAAAACAGACTGAAAAGATGCTCTCTCCTCCTTCATATACACTCTAGTTTGTCATGCTAATAAATGAACAGTTACCAAGAAATAGGTAGTGGATACTATTTTATATGTATTTTAAAAGCCACATCTTGGGCCGGCCCGTGGCTCACTCGGTAGAGTGCGGTGCTGATAACACCAAGGCCGCGGGTTCGGATCCTATATAGGGATGGCCCGGTTTGCTCACTGGCTGAGCGTGGTGCTGACAACACCAAGCCAAGGGTTGAGATCCCCTTACCGGTCATCTTTAAAAAAATAATAATAAATTAAATAAATAAATAAATAAATAAATAAAAGCCACATCTTTTCCCAAACAAACCTTAACAGAAAGATATCTCATAATACCCAACCCACTAACAAAGCTTAGTGTGGATGGCGATCCAACCTAACTTTGCTATTCTCTCTGTGCTTGTATATCTGGGACTATAAAACATCAGTTTGTAAGCCTGGTGAAGGGGATATGGGTCTCATTCTCAGTTCATTTCATATTTCAGTGATTCAATTAATGCTGGATAATTTAAATTATCATCAGGCTAGAAGACAAGACTTTACACAGAAGGATGTATTAATGATCTTTCAACTGCTAGGATTTAAGTAGCTACCTCCTTAAGACAGCAAAACTGTTCCAGCTTCTTCCAGAATCAACAAAATCTCTCCTGAGCAGCCTAACTTAACATAATCAAGATTTTCTGAAACCATAAGCTTTGTTTCAATTTGAAGTAAACTCCTTAACAGTAGTCTTTGAAGTTACTTCAAGAAAAGTTTTCATTATAATTTTCTGGTTAAACATGTAGGGATTGAATTACAATCAAAGATTTTAACATCCTATCTTTTGGACTCAAGACAATTTGGAGCAGGAGTCTTAGAGAAAATAAGCTCTGTGGGGAGAAAGAGCTCTGCTGAAAGCAAAGCAAAGGTTGTCTGATCAAAAGGCAATTTTGGAAAGGGTGAAATCAAGGTAATCCAAAAGCTGGCACTGTTAACTGCCTCTTCCTCTTGAATGTCTCCTCACCCTTAGCCTACAAACATGCCTAAGTCCCTTAAAACAAACAAAACTCCTTACTCAGCCTTGTGTCCTGCCCCACACTTCCCGACCACCCCAACATTTGTCTACATACAGAAGAGAGACAGAGTGATAGCTAAAGTTCTTGAAAGAGTAGTCTACTTAGCTTCACTTCCTCTCCCTTCGCCCATGCCTGACCCACTGCACTCTTGTCTTCTCCCCTCCTCGTCCCCAGGAAATGATTCCACAAGATAACCAATGTCCGCATCATAGCCAAATCCAACGTTTCAGGCATTACTTCTTGATGGCCATTGTTGACCATTCCCTTCTTGCTTAAAACTTCCCTTGGTTTTGCCAATATACTTTGTCTCCTGGTTTTCCTCCTCCCTCCATAACCAAACATTTTCAATCATCCTTACCGTTTCTGTCTCTTCAGCAGTAGCTTTCCAGACCTTTGTCAAAACACATACACCCTAAATGTTGGTGTTCCACAGGCTCTACCCTTTGCTCTCTTCCTTTTTTACTCTTCACATTCGCCCTGTACAATCTCACTTCCTCTAGGCCCTTCTCCAGCTTCTGAAATTATCAATATATATACACTGTTAACTCTCAAATAGATAGGTACAGGCCAGATTTGGTTCCCAAGTGCTAGATCTGTAAGTCTGCCTACCCAATGGATATCCCCACCTGATGTCACATTCACTGTGTCTAAACCTAGACTCATGATCTAACTTCCCAGCCAGGTGTGCTCCTCCTCATTTCCTTTCTCTGTCACTGGTACCACCATCTTTCCAGTCATATGAGCTAGAACCCTCAGAATAACTGTAACTTATCTCTTCTCCTTTATTCCTTTTATATTCTATAGCTCACCAGATCCTTTTGATCCTACTTCCCAAATTATGTCTCGGATATGTTCCTCCTCTCCATTTCCACTATTATTGACTTAGTCAAATCCTCGTTCTCTCTTATTTGAACCAGTGCAATAGCCTTTCAACTTCTCCCCTTGCCTCAAATCTTTCCCCGTCCCACAATTTAACCATTACTTCTATCTTCTAATTTTTTAGATATTACTAAAGTAATTCAGATTTCTAGACAAATGGTAGACTGAGTTGACGTAGATTTGCCTGTGCTCCAAACAGAGAGAGCTAGAGATAAAGATGGAGTAGAAACCATAATGAAAAAAGCAGGACACCATGAAAAGGACAAGCAGATTTGAAAAAGAACCAAAAAAAACTTCTGGAAGTAAAAAATATAGTCATTGAAATAAAAACCTCAGCGAATAAGTTAAATGTATAATTAAACAGCAGATGAAGACAGACTTTAGTTCACAGGAACATAAATGAGGAAATTTCCCAGAATGCCTCACAGAGAGATATAGCAATGGGAAATATAAAAGAGTTTAAGAGACAGGGAGAATGGACAAATAAGGTCCAGTAGACATCTGACAGGATTTCCAGGAGACAAGAAAGACTGGAGGAAGAAGCGATGTTTGAATTGATAATGACTGTATGCTTCCCAAATCAAAGCACAATTCATCTCACAAAGGAAATGATAGTAAGTCCATACAAAGATACATCACAGGGAAATTGCAGAACATCAAAGACAAAGAGAAAATCTTAAAAGCAACCAGAGAGAAAATCAGATTACCTACAGAATAATGATAATTAGATTGACAATGAACTGTAATGGCAAAAACAGAAAGTTAAAAGTCACGTAATATTTTCAAAATGCTGGGAGATAACTGGCAATGTAAAATTCTATTTTTAGCTAAACAATCATGCAAGGGTGAAGGTAAAATAAATATATTTTCAAAGACTGTTTCTCATTCATGGACTCAATAAGATATTGGTTATATCTGATTACTGACTATAAAATTACTGACCACCAGGGTATTCAAAACAAGGTGGAACTAAAATATTAGACAACAACATGGAAGATGGGAGGAGAATGATGGGAGATAAAGGGTTGTAAGGTTTTTGTACAGTTTAGGAAGAGGATAGAGAAACAAGGTTGGCCGGATAGCTTAGTTGGTTATGAGTGCAGCCTTGTAACACCAAGGTCAAGGGTTCAGATCCCTATACCGGCCAGCTGGCCAAAAAAAAAAAAAAAATTAGTTCAAAGAAGGAAGAGAAAAAATTACCTTTAAACTTTGCTAAGCATGTGTGCTAAAACTTAAGATTAATCTCTAAAAGGATACAAGTGGAGGGCCGGCCCGTGGCTCACTCGGGAGAGTATGGTGCTGACAACATCAATGCCACGGGTTCCTTAAGATTAATCTCTAAAAGGATACAAGTGGAGGGCCGGCCCGTGGCTCACTCGGGAGAGTGCGGTGCTGACAACATCAATGCCACGGGTTCGGATCCCTATATAAGGATGGCCGGTTAGCTCACTTGGGTGAGCGTGGTGCTGACAACACCAAGTCAAGGGTTAAGATCCCCTTACCGGTCATCTTTAAAGGACACAAATGGAATAGATAACTTCTAAACCAGTAAAGAAAAGAAAAAAAGAGAAATAAAACTGTAACAGAAAATAGGAAAGGAAGGGAGAAAAGACAACAAAGACAAAATAAATTATATTTTTTGTAAAAAAAAAAAAAAGAAACAATCAAAGAAAAACCAGTGGTCCTCTCTAACACTCCAATGCCACATCCCAGCAGTAGCTTTCAAAATCTTTACCAAAACACTTATGTAATCATATTTAAAATGTAATCTAAAATATATCTTATTCTCCTGCTCAAAATTATTCATTGGCTGCCTCTAGGATGAAATGCAAACTACTCAGCAGAGTATGCTAAATCCCTTTACGATTTGGCCTTGACAACCTATATAGTTTCATGTAGCCCCACTACTACTCCATAAATATTTTAATTCAAGCCATATCTACTGAGAGTTACCTAAACATAGGATCTGCTTCAAGTCTCTGATATGTGTTCTTCTGTCTAGAATGCCCTTCTCTCCTCTTCTGTACTTAGCAGGTTCCTATCATTCAATAAGACTTTTCTTAAGAAAACTACTTTTCTGTGAGTTTTTTTGACATCTACCTCCCTGGGCACACTAATCATTCTGTATTTTGAACATATACACTTTTGAACATACCTCTACTGGCAAAATTTCACTGTACTATAATTATTTAGATGTCCTCCTTCCTCACCTTGAGCTAATTTATCTATGAATTTCTAGCACTTGGCATACCACAGGTAAGTACCATAAATGTTTATTGAATAAAAGATGAATACAGAGAATCTCTAGACAAAATATGAGGTTACTATAACTCAGCAATTTCTTCAACATCTGCAGCTATCTTACCTCCACAATACTCTTGGTCACAGTAGACCTTCCTCTTCGAAGTTCATTGGCTTCTCTTTCTACAAAACAGAGTGGTACTTTTCCCACAAGGATCACTGAATCACTAGTATCTGGAAATATAAATTCAAGGCCCAGATCCTCCAGATTTTTGTGGTAACACCTAAAGACATAAACTCAAATGTAAAAGTATTACTTCATTCACACTTCAGTTCTGGTTCCAAATACTCACAAGCTGCTACAGGTTTTTAAAGTTGTATTGTTTTTCTCACAGTATGTATGTTTGTTTAGGATTTTATTATCAAATTTCATTTTTGAATTATAATAACCTTCATTTTTTTTCTCTTTTCTATTCAGAGAATCAATTTGTTTCTAAGTCTTGTTCCTAAGTTTTTATTCTTCACAGAGGAACTGCTAACTTCTTGTTGCTGGAACTTAAAGGAGTTTGGCAGAAAGAAAAGATCTGAGAATGTTCTGAAACAACATTAAAGCAGGGAGATAATTAAAAGCCCCAGGAACTGAGAAATCCTGATTAACGGATGTAAATAAATGGATCTGCCTCTAATATAAATTACGCCCCAGGGAAAAAGATTTATTGGCAATAGCATATTCCCAAAGCTGAAATAAATTGAGAGAGAATTCTCTTTTTCATTCTCAGTAATTTGTGCTGCCCAGAAGTGGGTAAATGTTCTATCTTATGACTCATTATATGATTTGCCCCTTCCTTGCATCCAGTGTTTTACTTTCTTCCCAATATGATTATGGTAATGAAAACTAAGAATCTAGAATGCACCAAGACAAAGCAGAGTGGAAGCAATTACTGTAGTTGCTTTGTTTTCAGAAAAAGCACAGAATAAACACTGATCCAAGAAATAAGAAGAGTGTTCTAAGCCAACTGCTGGAAAAAATTATCAGGGAAATTCTATTCTATACTCAACAGCTGTGATACAGTGGAAAGAACAGTATATGGAGTCAGAAAACCTGCCTTAGGGTGCCTGCTCTGCCACTTAATTGTTACAGCCTTGGACAAGTCAGGCAACCTCTCTTTGCCTCAGTTTCCTCATCTGAAAAATGGAACAATATTTATGCTTATAGCTTAGAGAATTATTGTGGGAATTTATACTGTTAACATCACATCCTCATGGTGGTACTAACCACAAGAGTCTCCTTTGTTCCTCCGTCACTGTTATCTCTAGTGGAGGAATTACAGTAGAAGACAGTAATTTTTTCCGACCAGAGACTTGTGGCTGCTGCTTCTCATAGGAATCTATTGGAAAAAAGACGAATGGGTTAAGAGTAGGAAGGGAAGTCTTCTTGATTCAGATGAAAATGATGCATGGTAAGGCACAGCCATGATATAATTATTCTAGCCCTTAGCAGTGTTTGCAAAGTTCAGTTTTAAACTTTGAATTTCCATTATTAAAGTCAAACTAATAAATATCCAGTCTGTTTACTCATTTAAGCAGTATTTTCTAAAATAAGAAATATAAGACTTAAATCTTACATTCCAGTAACACAAAGTTCCTGTAGTTAATAAATGTGGTTTTAATAACAGGTGAATTATGTGGATTACTGGAGAAATAGATGGGTTTCCCACACAATCCTATGACTTCAGATGGTCTTCTCTTTCCTTTAGAAGGGTTTCCCAGTCTCTGAAGAGAATTTGTACTATTCTCAAATGGTGCAGGTAAGAAAAACTTACTGTAGAAAGTAAGTTTTTCTAACACTGTTTTTACTATATCTTTCCCAACTCTTAGGCCTTTGTTTTGTAAGGAAAAGTGAAAATGGTAGTAATATCATTGTCATTCTAGTCCTCCCTAGGTCCTCACCTAACTCTTTGACATTGAGTTTTTTCATTACTTGACCACAGGAGTAAAGATTTTCCTGGTATTTTACCGCTTGGTGAACATGTTGCCTCATGATGATAAAAATGGGTAGCAAAAATTAAAAAGCATATATTGACTCTAGAATGATAAATAAAAAATTAGTGATATTTGTTGCTCTTGGGAGAGAAATTAGGTGGGATGGGGGACAAGGGTATAAAGGCGACTTTATTATATTCCCTTTTATACCTTTCAGAGTTGGATCTATTTGATTATACCACCTATTCAAAAGCAAGTTAAATTTGAAAATAACAACAATATATTGGGCCTTCTGATGCACTGTGAAGAAGGCACACCAAGGTCACATGGGCATATGGAAGGGCATCTTTGTGCTGGATGTCATAATGAAGTACCTCTGGGTTAATAATAAATATGGCAACATGCCTTTGACCATGTAAATAAGACCCACTTGTGTGTTAGCTTTTTTTTGCTGGTCATTATAGGGATCAAACCCTGGACCTTGGTGTTATCAGCACCACATTCTAACTAATTGAGCAAACCGGCCAGCTCTCACATATTTATTTTAAATTAGTAAAGTGAACTACTGTACTACATTTTTTTAGTTAGAAGCCAAACCAGAGGACTTCAGCTTAATATTTTAAACATATGAAGATACTTCAAAAAGACTGTGAAAAAACTGAATTAAAAAATAATACGAATCTTTCCACGAACTTTTTGAAACACCCTCATACAATGCATCTTTCCTCACAAAGGTCACAGTTAGAAAAATTCTTTCAGGTATACTAATCCTGATGGGGAGTCTCAAATGTTTTCTAATTGCAAACAGATCCTTACCAATAATAAGCTGCTCCAAACGGACACGCTCATGGGCAGCATGTTGATCCACCAAGACTAGCAGGTTTCCACCTACGAGATTAGCAAGGATTACTGGAGTTTCAGATTCTCAGATCCAGGTTAAAATAATCATGTTGTGTGAAGGGAGAAAAAGCTTAATTCAAACTATTTAACAGCACGAGCATAAGAGAAATCATACTGAGTGGTAATAATCGTACCTTTTATTTGCTAAAAAATTGAAATTATAGGGAAAATGATAAATTTATCCCTGATGAAAAGCTCTTTAGTTCCTCAGTATTTCATTTATAAAACAATGTTAAAGTCCTACATTCCTAATGTTTAAATACTGATTTTTCTTTATGAATTCCACTTTAATATAATGAAGGATCATTAACACATTATAATAATCAGCTGACCTTGATTAGCAAGCTACTCTGAAACCCACGAAGAATATATTTCTAGTACACTTTACAACAGAGGCCAGTAAATTTTTTTCTGTGAAGGGCTAGAAAGTAAATATTTTAGGCTTTTTGGGTCACACAGTTTGTCATGACTACTCAACTATTCATTTTGAGCCAAAGCAGCCACAGACAATATGTGAATATTGTAGATGTGTTCCAATAAATCTTTATTTGTGAACACTAAAATATGAATTTTATATAATTTTAATGTGTCAAGAACTATTATTCTCCCTTTGCTTTTTTCCCAACAATCTAAAAATGTAAAAACCATTTGTGACACCCTGGCTGTACAATAACAGGTGATGGGTGGATTTGCCCACAGGCTGTAGTCTGCCCTGGTTTGGACTGGGGCTTCTCAAACTTTCATGGGCATACATGTCACATGGGGATCTTATTAAAATGCAGACACAAGCTTCTACAATGCTAGCAAACTCCCAGATGATGCTGTTTACAGGCCACATTTTTGAGGAGAAAAGCTTTGGACTCTCAAATACAAGGGAGAAGGCAGAATGTCCTGACCCAAAAAGCCAAACCTACAGAGAAATCCCTTTCTCACAGACAGGAACACTGATTTTCAAAAACATTAGTATACTGTTCTAGCTTGTAATTTTATTACTCTTGACCAAAGGGTTGAGGTCTATTGCCATTGATTATATTGAAATAAAAGTTCTCCTCTTGAATTTGATCAAAATAGATAATACCTGTTTTCCTATTTTACCCTCATCCTCCTCCAGTCCCTCTCTTCCATGTCACAGACAGATTTCTGGGTCTATCCTGTGGTCTCCATTAGCATCATCAGCATCTTGCCTCATCTCTTCTCTGAAACAGCTCTCATTTGCTAAAGGCCCTAATCTCCACTGTCACAAAATCAAACGGTCCTCGTTTTACTTAGCATGTGTCTCAGCAGTGTTTGGCATGAAGTCGTGGCTTTGCAACACGACATTCTTCTGTTTTCCTCGTTTCTCTAGCTGTTCCTTCACAATCTCTTTTGTTGGTACACCCTTTTCTACCCAGCTGTTAGATGTTGAAATTATTCTACATTCAGGACCTCTCCTTGCTCTTTACTCTTTTTCTAGGTGATAAAATTTACACCCAGGACTTCAATGACCGACTTTATGCTGATGACTCACATTTATATCTCCATGTCTGACAGTTCTCCAGTCCAGACCTGTAATACCCAACCGCATTCTTGACATCTCTTCTTGAATATTTCAAAGAGAATTTAGGCTGACTTCATGATATTCACCCTCCCTACCTGCTCCACCTACAGCCTTGTCCTGCAGTATCATCCACTCAACTATGGCAGTCATCTCCAAGCTCTGTTGACTTTATCTCCTAAATATCTTTTCAATGGATTCACTTCTCTCTAGTCCACCCTGGTCCCAACTAACCATCTTTTCTTTTCTTTCTTTTTTTCTTCTCTCTTTCTCTTTCTCTGTCTTTTCTCTCTCTCCCTCTCTCCCTCCCTCCCTCTCTGTCTCTCTCCTTTCTCTTTCTCTCTTTCTGTCTTCCTTCCTTCCCTCCTTTCTTCCTTCCTTCCTTTCTTACTTTTTTGGGGCTCAGCTGCCTGGTTTCAGGGATCGAAACCTTTGACCTTGGCGTTATAACACCAAGAAAACTTCCCTGACTTCCCTGATGAAATCAAATCTCCCAGTATAGGTTCTTACAGCACCTTGTATCTCTCCTCCATAATGGGAGCTAAATTAAAATTTTATGTGTGTAATTATCTCTCTTGCATGTATATTTTTTCCCATCATTGTATCTCTAGGTCCTGGTATAGTCCCTGACATATAATAGGTACTCAATCAATATTAGAATTACTTTGAATAGTTGAATTAATTTTATTTACAAACCATTATTGTTTCATTAAAGCAGATCACCAAGCGATTCTATGTAACTCAATAAACCTAGCAGAGTTCATTATATAACCTTCCTATTATTATACAGAAAAAACATGAAAACATTATCAAAAAGTCAAATAATATAAATTATTTTGAAGAGTGAGGTTCCAGCTTTCCCCACTCTCATTTTCACTCCCAAAGTAACTACTGTTAATAATTTAATGTGTATCTTGTATATGTATATGTATATGTACACATGTATATAAAACTAAATGTACTTTAAACTGTTGTTTCATAATATTCTTAATTTAGATTGGTTTTCCCTAAGCTGTCCAAATCATTGAAATTGTATTGTATACCAAAAATAACCTTAAAAGAAGGTTATCAGAAGACCAGCTGGTTATTAGTCAAGGCTAACCTCCATTCTTACCTGCCTTGTCATTCTCTTCAGTCTTAGTGCTCATTAAACAGGCAATAAACTTGTTATCCACTTGCTGGAGAACCTGCCATACATTCAAATAAGTAGTACAACACTAAATAAAAATTAACAAAGGTTTATCTATATAAAAAGAGACAAACTGTACTTTATTTAGAGTTGTTTGCATTATAACACTCATATCTAAGACTGAGGTAAGGTGCTGATGAATCTGAGGGAGTCATTAGGAAGGATAAAAGGATGGGCAAGTACATGTTGTTTTGCCTCCCGTGGATTTGTCACCCCTTTCCCCCTGGGTGACGGAGCCGCCAAAGATTACTCAAAGCCCATCTCTTCTGAGAAGTGAAAAGCCCCAAAAAGGGGCTAATCTCCCGGAACCCTAAAGATAGAGGCATTCCTCCCATTTCTTGATCTTAGCAAACATTCTCTTCTTACAGCAATTTCCCAGTATCTTTACATATCAGTCACTGACCTGTCTGTCCTTTGAGCCAGCAACCTTGCTCTGCTATGATTCTTTATCTTACAACAGAGACTAGCCTGGGGAAAATTTCCTGTCCTTCGCAAGGCTAACATTTGAAACTGCAAGGCTTTGGAAAACCAGGCCCTGTGAAGTACATTTGCTTTATGTATACTCCATATCTGCCTCTATCTTGAGGGTACCAGGAGAATAACCCCTTTTCGGGACTTCTCACTGCTCAGAAGAGATGGGCTTTGAGTAATCTTTGGTGGCTCTGTCACCCAGGGGAATAAGGGTGACAAATCTGTGGGAGGCAAAGCAACAAGCACAGTGATCAGAAGACATAAAAGGCGAGAGACTACAAAGGAAGACTGACTAAGGCATTTAACAGAGAGATGCTGACAAAACTAGGGTAGATCTGAAATGTTCCCAACAGAATGATTAATAATAATAGGTAAAATGACCAGAGAATTATTAATATAACCAGAGACTGCTAACAAACAGGGCTGAAATAAATTTTAAAAATGTATGCAAAAGCAAGGAAAACCATTTAGAGAAGCTAGTCCATTAAAGTAATAAGTTAAAAGCCACTGGTGGCTTTAGACCTTGGTGGATCCTCTCTGTCCAGGTACATGGGGATCCCCCAATACCCTCTAATCTATACCACTGCCCCAGGGTTTGTTTCTGGATCAACTACTCATTTGCTCTGGTACCAGGTCAATGCCAGGTTAGGAGTATCTAGAACTGTCTAAATTCCTAGTTATTTTCCAAGACAGCCAAAATGGTGTACAGTGAGCAAAGCAGAAAAGCAGATGAGACAGGGTCTCTTTTGTTAATGGAACTCCTTAAAATGGGGTTTCCTAAGGCTTGGTAGCCTCACACAATAGAGGGTCATTTAAAAAAGGGCATTCTTGCATATTTAAGGACAATATCTCTAAAGCATTTTGTTGATGTATAAATTATTGTAAAATATAAAGTCAATATATAATCTTCTCCAGAAATACCCTAACAATCCTTGAAAGTGTGAGCCCAAATCTATAATTCACTCTCTGCAAACCTGCTTATACTATTAAAGACATTTCTTTCTTTGTAATTATGATTAATCCCTTGCTTTTTATTTTGATGATAAAAGTTCCAGTAAGATTAAAACAACAACATGTGTTTTGACCAGGGTGGTCTATATCATTAAATAAATCTAATTTCAGAAGAGTTAGTCTAGCTTAGACCTTCAAAGTCAATCTTTTACCTGCATTGAATGAATCATTTCTTTGGTGAAACGATAGGGATACAAGATGTTGTGAATTTTAACTGCTAAGCTCTCAGCCTGGCCACTGCTTACATCAACAGCAACCTAGAAAGACCCAGAACAAACATCATTTAAATTTTAATTTTTTATGTCTGCAGAACTGTTTTATAAAAGATATCAAAGTGCTTTTAAGACATTAATTTTCATATAACCTACTAGAGGTGGATTGGATTCAGGTAACTTACAGAAATTCAAAAGGCTCTGTGAAAAATTAGTCTTAAATAACAATTTTTGTTTATAGACAAAATTACTGACAAAAACCAATATTGTTTCAGAACAACAATTTTTCCATTCTCTATGATCAAGTCCTTAAAGACATCTTAATTGAAGACTCAGTATTCAGACGCTCATCTATTATACAACCTCATCAGTGATAACACACTGAGGAGAGAACATACTCCAGGTCGAATGATGAACTGTTCCTCCAGTAGAAGATTTACTACTTTATCTAATGATAACAGTTTTATTATCACCACCCTGAATACTTTGCCAAAGCTGCAAGTCAGGGTTTCTAAGAGTGGTAAACACATTCACTATTCACACACTGATTATACAAGTTTAATCCAAAATGCCCGAGATCCCCAAATGCTATGAATTCCGATTCCTCCTCTCTACATTAAACATTAATTCCCAAATAAATTATTTGGAAACATGCTCAGTTTGCATTCATAATTACAAATCAGTATAGTCATTCATGCCCATTCTGATTTTAAATGAAATTCTAACTTTAAAATAACAAGCAAAGAAAAATTGCTGCAGACCCACCTCTGGATAACGGGCAAATACTGGATTGTCCCACTCTGAGAACAAAGACTGAAGTGATTCACTACCAACAGCTTCATCCACTGTATCTAGGGCAAAAGGGGACAGGTAAAGTAGGCATCAAGAGCCCCAGGGAAAAGGGTGAATGGCATCTCTTGTTTTGTGTGCGGCAGCATCAAGAACAAAACTCGGACACGTTGTTCCTATATTCCACAAATGTTCAGTGTTTGCAGTATCTCTAAATTGTTTTGATCTGTTACTTTTTAAACTAGTGTCGATGACTGTATCTCTGGCCTTATAGCTTTTCTCCAAACTGCTTACAAGAGATATCTCAGAATACAAGTCCAGAAGTCCAAAACTATGGCTCAAATTAGTAACCTCACTGCCTTTAGGTAAAATAAACCTTATCTTTTACAAATAAATGAAAAATAATAGATGTCTGTAGCTTTTTTCGAAGAGTTTTGCTGAAATAAAACTACTGCAATATGGAATGCAACTCCAATCTTTTACAAACAAATAAAAAATAATAGATGTCTGTAGCTTTTTTCAAAGAGTTTTGCTTAGATAAAACTACTGCAATATGGAATGCAACTCCAATCTTTTTAAAAATAAACATTTCTCCAATCACGTGACATCACAGACTATGCATAATCACCCAGTATTGACCTCAAGTCTGGAAAAGTAATTTCTGATCTAAACGCATGCACTGAATTACTTAGTTCTGCTGTTAAATAGGGCCATGGGGAGTTCCCAGTTCCAGTAAGGCACAGCTGGCACCGATCAAGCTTAATGCAATCCTGCTTTGTTTTTTACATTAGGTGGTACAGTGTGTACTGGGTGTCACGACAATCTCTGTTAATGCTCCTACCTCTGTTATTCTGTCTCATCATAGTTCTCTCTTTCTGAGCTCTTGGAAGGAAAGGAAGAACAAGGTCGCTTCTAAAAGGATGACACCTGTACTGAGACCCTAAATATAAAAAAGAAAAACCTAGAAATTTGAGTTCAAAATATAAACTATTAAAAAATTAAATTACATAAAAACTTTCTGCACAAACTGAATCAAGACATAAGGTGGACTACTAAACACTTGATTAAGAATCAGAAGTTCTTTAAGGAAATTATTCTGCTCACCTAGGAATCTACATTAATGCTTAGTCCCATTATTCACCTATTCCATACAGAATGAAGACCTAGAATAGGTCACAGTGATCCTCAATGGGGGTGGGGGGGATTTTGCATGGGGTAGGGGAACATCTGGCAATGTTTTGAGACGTTTTTTGTTGTCACAACTTAGGAAAAGGGTGGTACTGGCATCTAGCAGATAAAGGCCAGGGATGCTGCTAAATATTCTACAATGCATAGGACAAACCCCACAACAAAGAATTATCAAGAGAAACCCTGTATTAGACATATAGTGGTACTTAACTGTCATCCACAATTTGGTATAGGCTTCACAAATCTCCAATTTATATGTCTCTTATCCCCAACATATGTTGGGCTAACATATGTTGGGGATAACATTTATCTCATTATATTACAATTATGTTTAGATAGCTGTCTTCCCTAATGGACTGAACTCCTCAAAGAAAAGTCAGTTAATCTGCAATGTGACAGCACCTAGCACAGTGTGAATGATCAACAAATGTTGAACAGGCTGGCTGGTTAGCTCACTAGGTTAGAGCCTGGTTTCCCCATACCAGCCAACCACCAAAAAAACACAAAGAAATGCCACAAATACTGAATGAATAGATGAATGAATGAAAGGTTCTCAATTCAAACTTCAAAGTCTGGTAAAATCTGGCCCCAATTCTACCCTTTTCTCTGAAGGATAATCAGATTTGAGTTTTAAAAACAATGCTGAATTTGACAGTTGTTTGTTTGTTTGTTTTAAAGATGACCGGAAAGGGGATCTTAACCCTTGACTTGGTGTTGTCAGCACCAGGCTCTCCCAAGTGAGCTGACTGGCCATCCCTATATAGGGATCTGAACCCGCGGCCTTGGTGTTATCAGCACCACACTCTCCCAAGTGAGTCACGGGCCAGCCCTTTGACAGTTTTTGAACAGGAGCAAAACATGATGAAAGTATTATTTCAAAAAGATAAATCTGTTGGACAAAAACTGGAGAGAGAGAGGTTAAGAATGATAAATTGAAGATATGAGAAGGAATAAGATTTATTGTTGGTAATGGAAAGGACTGAGTTAAAGACATTTTAAAGAAAAAATTGCTAGGGCTTGGGGATTGACACCACTCCATAAAATTACCTTTACAGATCCTCTCTTCTGTATGATAAAATTTACCTATTAATTAATCTCATGTAACATTTTTATGTATGGCTCAACAATGTCCTTATGTCCTGCTGTACGTCAGCCATTTTCAGAAAGGAAACATTCTATGCTATGTGAACAGAGAGTGCTAAGGAGCCATCTTTCCATGGAGCTTGTTTCTATACCAAAAATATTTTTCATTACGAAATTGAGTTAACATGACCTTCAAAATCGCACTACAAGATATGCTAATCCAGAAAGTTAAGTACACTGAAGTGTTTTAAACATCTAGATTTATTTAACAGGAGCAGATGTTTATATTAAGTATGGCAGTAAGATTTCCCTCTTTGTTTTAGCAACAACTATCTCATAGTTTAATGTAATCCAGTTATTTTTTGGCACTGTATTGGAAGCAGCTGCATTTCAGGAAGATGAAGTGCCAGTGCCTTAGATTTACCTCTGATAAGCATTCAGTATAAGTCAGGACATAAAACTACACAGATTGAAAGGCACATAAAGTTGCTTTAGGAGCAACTTGATAGTCTCAGGAGCAATACTGAAAGAAAAGGGTTTTCTACTCCTATTTAATACTTTGAAAGTTACTACAGTGATTATTTTTTCACAAGGAAAATACTGAAAAAAACTGAAAAGTAAAGGTCTTATTTAACCTTAAATAAATCAGAGACTCCTGCTAGAGATAGTAGTCATACTAAGGAGAAATTATAAATTGATTTGCAATTACATTCATACAATTTACATTCTTCTGCCGCATTTAAGACTTTAAATATGTAAGCAGATTTCATGTTTATCCTCCTAGGGCAAAGCCAAGATGATAACCAGATGGAATTCAGCTTTACCATTTCCCAACATGTGGCTCTCAATACACTGCCAAAACAATGTCACTTTTAATGCTGACTGAGACCTGAGAACCCAGAGTCCTAGTCCAGGCTCTAATGTAGCCTTGTGGTGTGGTCTAAAAGCCACATTATTGTCTTCCTGAATAACAGCTACTTATACCATAAACAGATCAAGTGGATTGCCATATACACTATCATATAAAGTATATTTGAAAAGTATAGTTACAGAAGTACATACTTAAACTATATTTTGAAAAATGTACGAGCAAGTATTACTTTCTGGGGTAAAAAAGTTCATAAATATAGTACTGTACTGAGCCACAGATTTTACTGGGAAACCTAGGAGGATTGCAGAATCATTCTGTTCCTCAATCTGAGAACCACAGAAAGAAATTTCCAAAAAAATACCACATTGGCACTGTAGGTGACTTTAAAGACAATTTTCTAGATCTGTGTGTTTGGGAGGGAAGGGAGAGTAGGGTAGGAAAGCAGTTGCATTTCATCTTCTTAGCTATTAATAGTACCGTCTGCATTAAAATTTGACTGTCTCGCCCTCTCTCTTACACATACATACACCCATAGACACATATACATACACTTATATCCCATATCAGTTTTTCATTGTTTCTATATTTAAATAGTGTTGAACCTAGAGAATCTTCATACACCATAAATTTAACATATACTTCGTATGTTTTGTCTTCAAAATGTTCTATCTGCTGAGATCTTTTTTTTTAAATTAGCATATTCACTGTTACAAGTCATACTTATTCTTTATGCCCCTTATCCAATCTCTCCCCTTCCCTCTGCCCCTCCCCCTGAGACCATCTCTTTGAACAATGATTATCTTACTCTTTGGCCATTATTCCCATCTTTGAAAGCATTTCATGCCAGTGAACACTATATACTTACCATTCTCAAGTATGACATCCACAGCCACAGTTGTCAGGTCTTTAGTACAAGCAGTCTGAATATCCTCAGTAGGAGCAACGAATGTACTAAGTCCAGTAATTTTGTTGATATAAACCATTCTTCCCAGGGCTAAATCAAAATGCTGCTGCCAATCCAAAGAACATGTGTTTGACTCTTCATTTTCAGAACAAGCTCTTGCTTTTGATTTCTCACTCTGAAAACAAATTCCATTTTGGTCAGCTGTGGAATCTTCTACCTGACTCATTAACATTCTACTGGGAGAGTCAGGACTTTCTATTTGTTGTTCTGAAGCTCTGACAAGAACATCTGAATCTTTATTTATAACTTTAGAACTACAGGGTTCTAGAATCAAAGGAGTTTCTGATATTACAGAGTTCTCTGTTGTACTGTTGTTAAAATGTGCTTCACTATCTTTATTGAAGGAATTATCCCGTGTGACAGATTCTGACACTGGGATGATGCTACTCTCTGTTTTTTTATGCTCATTTTTAAATAACTTACAAAAATCTAGGGTTAACCTACTGCACAAGTCACTGTCTATCCTACAACAATCTGAATTTGGAAGTTCATTTAAATGACTCATCATCTCCATTGTTTGAGTCTCTTTTTCCGACCCCTTCAATCTGGATAATTTAGAGGCTAGTGATTCAGCTGACTTCTCAACATCCAAAGGCTTTCTGTTAAAGTGAGATAACTCCTGTAGAGTTATAGGACTTTCTCTCAAACAAGGAATCTGTTGGTCCAAACAATCTTCTTCCTTGGACAATGGAAACTTCTCTGAGTAAAGGATGTGACTTACTGGTTGACAACTATCATGTGAATCATTATGCTTCATAGTTGTGATTTTACAAATATCAGAGTTGTGTAAGTGGTCCTTGTCCTTGGGTGGAATGTCAGGTTCAACCGGAGGACTGAGATTAATAGTGACTTCAATATTATTTTCCCGCACTTCTGTATCCACAGGATTTTTAACCTTCCCAAATTGCCTCTTAAACTTCTCTAAAGATCCTAGTTGTGAACTCAAGCATAGCTTCTTACGTGCTGTGAGTTTGGAGGAACCAACCATTTTACCTGTGTTTTTACTACCATTTGAAACATGTCTATACCAAGGGAAAGAAGAGGATGTATCAGTTAATAAGCAACCTGTGTGTGATTTTTTACTATGTTCCTGAAAAACAGCAAAATTTTTATAAGTTCCTACAAGTTTGTTCTCTAGCCCATAACTTATATCTGTTCTGCAAAATTTCTTCTTGGGCAGTTGAGCAGATTCTTTACTTAAAGTGCTGGTTAAATCTTCAACGTTTGGAGTCTCGACTGAATGATGTGTTCCATTTCCAAATGTTTCTTGGGCATTTGCAGGACCAGGTTGAACATAATTTTTAAATGAATGTTCTGTTTCAGTTAACTTAGTTTGCTCATTTTGTACCACATGAGTTACAAAGCCAGTGGAACATAATTTAACTTGTCCATAACTAAAAACATTTATTCTTCCCCAATTATTGGGTTCTTTTTTTTTCTCTTTCTCTCTCTGAGGACTATGTACTCTCAATAATGTTGTCTCAAAAGGCAGAGGTTGGTATCCCATTTCAGTAGCATCTTTAAATCTCTCTAGTCGATTCTGAATTCTATTATTTTTCTGGATGCTGGCAGCCATGCTGTTAACAGTAGTACCTACTTTCTGTATTTCTAGATCTTCTGCACCCTCCTCAAAGTGATGTGGTGCCTGAAAAGGGCTTGAAAACATTTCTGAACTTGTTCCACATGGATTTTCTAATGAGTTATTTTCCAAGCAAGATTTTTTATGTTTCTCATTTTTTCCTGATTCTGATGCTTCAACTGTCTCTTGTTCCAACATCCTTGATTCTGAACAAGAGCTATCTTTGTTGTGTAAAGATGACTCTGTCATTTTACCATGGCCTGGGCCATCTGTTTCATAAGTGCATAAAAATGAATCATCTGTCATTTTTTTGATAGCTCCTGAATCCCTTGACTTCTCTGTGTTTATGTTTCCTACAGTAGCTTTTCTTTTCACAGCTTTTGACTGCAAATTAAACATTTCATAGGAATCCAAAATATTATTACATGCCTCCTGGAAACTTCCCTTGTCACACTTCTCATCAGAGTAGACATGTTTCTGAAGAGTAGCACCAAATAAACTAAAATCATTATCTTCAATAAATTCCTTAATGTCCTCACCTGATAATTCCACAAATAATCTTTCTTGCTTTAAAAACATTTTCACTCCTTCCTGAATGCAAACCAAGAGAGTATCCCAGTTCTGAAACTCAATCAGAGTTTTTGCTGGCTCCATGCATACATCATATTCACAGAATTGGCACTGCACATTTATTACATATATCCCATAGAGTTCTGGGGTAGACCGATGCCGAGGACCTGAATTCATTTGCCTACTGGCAGAGCCATTCTTTGGCTTGCATATAACACTTTCTTTCCTTAATAAAAAGTCAATTAGTTTATGCAGCTTTGTCCTTAAAACTAGTCTTTTGTTCACAAACAAAAACTGCATATTCTTATTATAATGTGCTTCAGAGCTGATATAGCCACTAATGTCAAACTCCTTATATTTAAAATTTATTTCTCTTAACTTTTGGGACTTACCCAGTCCATAAATTTGACAAAATCGGGAACATATGTCTTTGGTTCTAGGGAGCTGAAGAACCATGGAACCAGAAACATCATTTCTCAAAGAGAAAGAAATGGAAGGGTGCATGAGTGAGAGAGCTTCTATTCTCTGCCTAACCTTCTCAAACTCTAGTCTAGGATCCATGCATTTTCTCCTTACAGGTAACTGGTAAAATAGGTTATATACTGTTACTGTTGTCCCAGCACTTGGTCTAGTCAAATCAGCTTCACAGGCTTTCAGGGCTTTTCCATTCTGAAACAGTTTCACAAAAGTTTTCATTGTGCTGTTTTTCTTGGATGAAATTTCCACAGCGCTGGCCATGTCAGCTATACTTGCCAAGGCCTCCCCTCGGAAACCATAAAACCTTGGGTTCTCCAAGTCCTGTACCGAGTTGCATTTACTAGTGAAGTAACGATTTCCCACCTTGTCTACATCATCACTCCCCATCCCAAATCCATTGTCTATCACTTGAACTTGGAAGGTCTCCATATTTACCCTGATGGCCACACATTTTGCTTCAGCATCAACACTATTGAGAGCAAGTTCCTCAACACATTGGCCTAGGGAGCTTATGGCCAAACCAGAACGCAATTTGGCTTGTACTTCAACTGACAAACACTTGATCATGGCAGGTAGAGAGCTGGTAAGAATGCCAGGCACTGGTTTCCTTCTCTAACTGGAAATAATTGCCTATGGGAGGAAAAAAACACACACACACTATCAAAGCTTCAGAGATATAAAGCATTACCCATTTCTCTCAAGCATTATGAAGAAATATCATTTGAGGTAAATGAAATCTTTTTTATTAAACCAAATTGTGAAAACAAAACAAAATTATACCTCTGATCTCTAGGCAGATCACACAGCTCATGCTTGGTGTAATGAGTTAAACATCCAAAGGAGCATTCATAATTTCATAATTTTCACTGCTCCTTTCTAAATCCCACATGCCCTAAAGTGAAATCATAATTACACTTGAAGTTGACCCATAAAGACAGTATTGAAAATTCTAACCGCGTCACCAAAAACAGATGCCTAAATTAAATTCAGTTAAGAAACATTAGCTAGAGATTATTCATGAAATAAAATGTCCAAGCTAGTTTCATAACGTTTATACATTACACAATAACTATGACTTTTAGAAAAAAACTTATAATGAAGTGCTAAGACATTGTAATAAGAAAGATGAAGAAGCAACAGGAGGAAGTAAAAACAAACTGTATCAAGGAGAGATGGGCATTAAGAGATTATTATTATTACTGGTTAAATGCAGTTGCCTCGGGAAAGGATAAGGCAGGAAAATTCCTTTTCATATAAGCTTTTCTTTACCATCTGATTTTTAAATCTTGTTCACGTATTACTTTGAAAAAAAGCCTTTAGAAGGTTCTTACTAATACTCATTTTTGGTCTTTTCAGGTGGGCATAAAATACCTTGGCAATAATAAAGACAGCACGGGGTTGTCTGAACTTGATTTTAAGTTTTCTTGCAAGTTAGAAAAAAGAAAAGACTCTAGAGCCATTAAATGTCCCCCTTTCTTCCTAAGTGAGGCAGCAGCACGGGCTGGACCTCTCGCAGGTGGTAGGGTTGTTTTTCCAAACCAGGGCAGATCAGGGCTATAACTGCGGTACTTCTGATCACTTCTAAGGTAATGAATCGGCATTTCCTGATTACATCCCAGTCCGTTCAGGGCCGCAGAGCCAGGGACACACGGGACGAATCGGCCGGTCCAGAGCTAGCAAAGCCGAAAGCCGGGTGGGCCGAGCAGGCCGCGCTCCCCGACTGCCTCAGGCTCCGCCCCGCCCTCCCGGCCCCCGCCTCGGGCCCCCGCGCCCGCAGCGCGGCCCTTGCGCCTCTGGCTCCGAAAAGCCAGCCCGCAGCGGTCACCAGGACCCGCCTCGAGTTAGAGGAGCACCCGGAATCAGCCCTGCGTTCCGTGCTTTCCCCCAAGTCACCTCATTCACGCTTCATCAATTCTAGGATACCAACCGCCTCACGAGCCGGACGCGCGCACTTGGCTGGCGAGGCTCGTGCACGCCCGAGCCCACGAGCATGCGCTTCTGCGGGACTCGCCGAGAACACGCACTCGTTGGCGACACCCCTGGGCGCATGCGCACCAGGTGCATCCCGGCTGAATTCAGGCGTCCCAGGGTCTCTTCACACGGGTACCTCCAATTCTCCATCGTTATCCGCTTTTGGCATGGTGTGAAAGGCTCTTTCTAGCCATTTTTACTTTTGCTGTTACGTTTTTCCTTTTCTCACTCTTTCTCCTTTGTACGTACTACCACTTAATTCAATAGTGTATGTATTTGACTTATTTGCTTATTATCCTCTCTCACTAGAGAGGATAGAATGTAAGCTCTATGAAGGCAGGAGTTCTGTTTTGTTTACTGCTGTATCCCCGTGGCCAAGAACAGTGCTGGCCCTATGGTAGGCACTCTGAATAAATCTAGAGCCTTCCATCTTAGAATTATAGCATTTCAGAGCTGGGAAAGACGGAGACACAAGCTCAACTATTTTAATTTACAAATGAGGACACCAAGACACACTTTACTGATTTTTTTTTTGGTATGGTCCCAATGCCACTGCAGCTTCTTTACTTACTGAAGGAGAGCAAAACTTTACCAACACTGAGAATAAAGTGTTTTGGGAATTGTTAACCAATCCTGTTTTTGCTTCCCGTCTCATTTTCATTGAAATCTTATTTTTTTAAAAAATAGGAATTTACGACAAATTTGTCTGACCCAGTAAGTTTTTGATATATACTTGTTTAATGACTAACCAAACCAAATCAGACTTCTAGTGCTGATTAACCAAAATTCTGATTATTGCTTATATTAGTTTTCTGGGGCTGCTATAACAAAATACCACAGACTGGGTGGCTTAAACAGCATAAGTTTATTTTCTCTCAGTTCTGGAGACTAGAAGTCTGGGATCAAGGTGTTGGCAGAGAGGCCTCTCTCTTTGGCTTGTAGATGGCCATCTTCACATGATCTTTCATCTGTGCAAGCATATGTCTGTGTCCAAATTTCCTCTTCTTATAATGACACCAGTCACGTTGGATTAGGACCTATCCTAGTAGCCTCATTTAATTTCAGTTGCCTCTTTAAAGTCCCTATCTCCAAATACAATCACTTTCTGAGGTACTAGGGATTAGGACTTCAACATATGAATTTTGCAGGGACACAGTTCAGCCCGTAACATTACTTTACATGACTTTTTTACCCAGAGGAAAGGAATAACAATAGAAGTTCCAGAAAACTAAAAGTAATTAGTCCAAAACATCATTTGAACAAAACTAACAAAACTGAACTTGTGGTGTTTGTTCTTATTAGGCACACAATCTCCTAAAGAAAACTTCATGAAAACCATTTAAATAAATGATTCAAAGTAACTGCTAACTTTCTTTTTCTTTGAGGCCTCTTTAAATTACCTCCAAGTACTCTTCCCACAGATGTTTATTGAATAAATATCTCTTATTTTGCCCAAAAGACAGCTCACTGAAGATTGAAAAAAAAAAAGACCCTAAGCAGAAGGTTCTAATGTGTTTTTATTGATTAGAACTATGTACAACTGTAATCCTTTCAACATACATGTAATTTACAATAACATTCAAATATCTGATACTAAAATAATTTACTGACAAATTCTAATATTGAACACAGAATAGTTCTATCTCTATTAACAATAAAAACCAAAACCACTGAGTTTATTCTGGAAAATTTAAATTCAGGCCATTATTTCACAATTTGGAAATCTGAGTAATCCAACTTTAAGATGACTTTCTCATTGTTGAAGTTTGCTGTGTCAATGTGCGATTTGGGACTTCCTCTTGTCTTAAGCCATTCCTGCATATGACGCACCTTGGACATGGGACCTTGCAATTGTCCTTGTACTGTGCCCTGGTCAGTGTTCTGGACCCAGCCTACCAATCCCAGCTTTTTACTCTCAGCCTAAGGAGAAAAAAAGAGTGAGCCAGTGAGATTGAACAAAACAAAATGAGACTACAATCTTTTTGCCAGAATCATCATGGCCTAGAAGCAAGCCACTGAAACTAATTTGATATTGTCCAGAACAGTCAAAACAGAAAGACAGCAAGGAGGATCTCATTGGTGGTCTTAATTAATATCAAGTGTTGGCCACTTGACTCCATTTCCTCCTTCTACCCTATAAAATCAAGGCACTAGAATTTTTCACTATGTAGTCAATTTGGTTAAGTACTAAAGACCTAAGTCCTAAACAGATGCTTTCAAAATGATCCCCTAAGGCTGATTGTTGTTAGGACACTGGGCTGTATCTTGCTCATTTTTCCTTCTCCAAATCAAGAATCTATTAGGTATGTGAAATGAAAAAAGCATGAAGTTATCTGATCCTTCTTTTTGTCTTTAACCAGGACCACACCTAAACAAATCCAGATGAATTAGTGTCCATCATATCCTTAAAGATCATTAGAGAATATTTCACAATTTCCTGGGCAATTCATCCTGTTGTTCTCACTGTAGAGAAACTGTCTAACCCAACATCTTTATGTTGCATCCAAAGTCCACTTTCTGCCATCCTCCTACAGAAAGAAAGCAGCTGGTGATCAGCCTCTGGACACCTAACTTTCATGAGACTACATTACTATTAGGTTTTCTTTGACTTCCTTTTCTTCTGTCTAAGTAATCACAATGTCTTTAAAGTTGAATAAGCTTATAAAGACCATCTAATCATTGTAGTGGCTCTTTTCTTAGCCTCTTCAGTGTTCTTTCCTTTAAGTCATTAAACTGTGGCAAGATTGAAAATTTAGGAAAGGAAATAATGTTTTAGAGGTAATTTTATTTTTGTATAAATATATAATTAGCATTTTATGAAAGTCATTGATTGTTAAAGTAATCTATCTGAATAAAAGGAGTTGGATTACAACAGAAAATGGGAGTTAACATGATTGCATGTCCAAATGCCAGAGTGGTGATCTAGTAAATGTGGGAGATTGTTGGAGTTGGCCAAAGAAAACGTTATGCACAGCAAAAAAAATGTTTGATGAGGAACTGAAGTATTTATCAAATCAGTTATGTTCAAAGCAAAGACATGTTTACATAATGAACAAGAGACTCCAGTCAAATAAATAACAGTTTAAGGGATACAGAGGAAATTAAGGAATGAAGAAAAATAGGAGATACCTACACCATGCACTACTAAGTGCCAAAGAAGATAGCATAAAAGAATGCTGAGAATGGATTTTGAGGAAGGCTCCATATACAACTGACTTCATAAAACAATTTCACTCTTCTGCTTCAAATGAACACACCATGCACTACTAAGTGCCAAAGAAGATAGCATAAAAGAATGCTGAGAATGGATTTTGACGAAGGCTCCATATACAACTGACTTCATAAAACAATTTCACTCTTCTGCTTCAAATGAATCTAGGGGAGTTGGCTATCTCTAGTTCTTAGGGTTACCAAATATGGTAAATAGCTATAAAAATGTGCAGTTTTGAGCAGGTTATAACAGTCAAATAAAACTTTAAATTGCAATGTGATTTATCTGAACTTCTGAGAGTGAACAACACACTCCAGAATTTGACTGGTGTTGAGAATGGGAATTTACTACAGGTTGCATTTGTGCACTCAATTCTGTTCTTATTTTTTAAATGATAGGGTAATGTTGCTGATTCATGTTCAGTTTTGAATATCTGTCT